CTATAATCAGTGGAAATTAAGAATCACTACAAAACACGTAAAGTGTCTTTAATACGAGACGTAACACGAAATTGTACATATAGAAATTTACATATAAAAACTAGTGGTATATCGAAAGTGGAAAACTATAATCAGTGGAAATTAAGAATCACTACAAAATACGTAAAGTGTTTTTAATACGAGACGTAACACGAAATTGTACATATAGAAATTTACATATAAAAGCTAGTGGTATATCGAAAGTGGAAAACTATAATCAGTGGAAATTAAGAATCACTACAAAATACGTAAAGTGTTTTTAATACGAGACGTAACACGAAATTGTACATATAGAAATTTACATATAAAAGCTAGTGGTATATCGAAAGTGGAAAACTATAATCAGTGGAAATTAAGAATCACTACAAAATACGTAAAGTGTTTTTAATACGAGACGTAACACGAAATTGTACATATAGAAATTTACATATAAAAGCTAGTGGTATATCGAAAGTGGAAAACTATAATCAGTGGAAATTAAGAATCACTACAAAATACGTAAAGTGTTTTTAATACGAGACGTAACACGAAATTGTACATATAGAAATTTACATATAAAAGCTAGTGGTATATCGAAAGTGGAAAAATCTATAATCAGTGGAAATTAAGAATCACTTTCACTACGAAACACGTAAAGTGTCTGAGAGTTAAACTGAATGACGAAAGCTTCATTATGAAAGATAAATAGAGAAAGATCCGCTACATTGAAATTTTCCTCGCCGTGAGCGTCACTCTCTCATGCAGTGGACAGATCGCAATGGAGGGGGTAGCGCTGCCGACGAGGAAAGTGGGGGCAAGGGCCGCCAGTTCGCCTGCTCTAGAATATCTCGGATAAACAATTTACTTGGAGAAATCATGTAGAAATGAAAAAAGAAACTGTATTGGTCTCTGGGTCATAATCTACGAAATGAAATGGTATTGTTCAAGGACACAATCAAACAAGTCCCCGTGTGGCGTTGGACCAAGGGAAATAATAATCTGACAATGAGTACAGTTCGAAGATTTCGAAACAAAATCTAAAGGACGATAATAAATTCTCATTAATAAATAACAAAATTATTTCTCCTGTACTATAATTATTATCTTTCTCTCGAATACTTTATACGTTTAAAAAAGATCGAAATTTTCACAAATATAAAATAAAATCCGCCGTCTATTTCCGACTATTTACAGTGCTTCGTAAGTGTGAAGTGATATCTCAACGAAGTATTTCACAACGATACGAAGGTCAACTTTAGTTGGCGAGAAATTATCCTCTCTCTGACTCTATACTCTCAGAATTTTCCAGTTCTACGATTTTTATCAGTAGACCGAGATTTGTTTTTGTTCTCTTTCTCGGGAACTGTTCGTACCTCGGTTTTTCTACAGCTTTTTTCTCTGTAACTCTTCTTCTATTTGCTACTAATAATATCAATGATAAGTACCCTCATAATGGATTGCCAGTTGGTCGGAATAATTTGCCGCCGCCTGGCTGAATAACTTATGAAGCAAATCTTTCTCCTTGCCGGCGTTGCTGACCTGTCGGCCTTTTAACACCGATTGCTGTTGTATAGTGCCCATCTGTGAACAGAGATTTTTAGGATTTTTTAAATTAACACCTCAATCAAAAATCAAGTATTTTTAATCTAACTTACTGTCTAGTTTATTTAAATAAACTAGAGAATTAGAAAGTCTCTTCGGCAGTTTGAAAATTCCTGACTGTTACAAAAAGTGAGAAGATTATTACGAAAATTATACAGGGATATCTTTCAAAAATTCATTCATTGTATTATCAATTAAAATTCAACCAACTGAACTGAAAATCAGATTGCATTTAAATATTTAAATGTGAATCATGAAAATTATTTAAAAAATAATACAAATTCATCGATACACAAATCGTAATATTAATGATATAAAATATAATAAGTGTTATAAGACATATAAGTCTATAATAAAATATTTTATTTAAATCCATAAACTTAAATGTAACATTTCTTTAAATAATAATTGTTACAACTGGACTGCTACATATTTATGAAAATTCGTATTTCCTTGTATCCTTTAATTTAATTTATGATAATAATCAACTTAATAAATTGATTTAAATATTAAATATTAATATAATATTATAAATAATACATAAATAATAATATGTATAATATATAAATAATAATATATATAATATATAAATAATATATAAATAATATATAAATAATAATATGTATAATATATAAATAATAATATATATAATATATAAATAATATATAAATAATAATATATATAATATATAAATAATATATAAATAAAATATTATATTGATTTAAATTTAAATATTAAATTCAAGTATTAATTGATTTAAATATTAAATTAAATATTAAATCATTAATTTAATTATTAAACGATTTGATTTGACAAGCTATTCAATTACTTATATAATTTGTATACAATTGTACATACTTGTGTTATTACGCAATTAATCTTATAATTATTTAAACAAATTATTGGAAAATTAAAAGTGTTCTAAACTTGCTTTTCAGTTGTTATGGCAATTGCTCATGCAAATGCGTGTTTTCCTCTACGACGGCTGCAGACGTAAAATGTCTCGAGATTTATTTTTATCCTAGTGCAAAATGCTTTTAACGCCTTATGTATTCCGCATATTATACCCACCTTCCCGTTTTTCCACGTACAAACATTCGGACCAATGAATAATTAATGATGAAATACGTTTTATCGATTAGTGGAAAGAAACAGAGATTCCAGCGAGTCGTTCGCACATTTGTAATTCATCGATTTCATTCGGCTATTTCAAATCCCAAACGACAAATAAAACACGTAGGCAACTTGATTCAGCCGTGAACAAGGTGTTTTCTCAATCAGTCGCCGAACGAATCCCCTGTGAGAGAAATCCCAATAGAAAATAGAAGATCGCAAACAGGAAAATCTGTTTTCACCGATGGCGCGAGATCTCCATCCTTTTTTTTTTTGTTTTATTTTTTTTCACTCTGTGAATGTGTCGCTGTGAATTAATTCAGTTTTTCTACTTTTCCGATTGATGAGTTCTCATTCGATTTCGTTCGATCATATTACGCGATATTTCGACGAATTTATCTGATTTTATATATCAGGTGTAGCTGTACTTGTGTTTTAATACTACGTACTATATTATATTTATGTAATAAGTGCGATAAGTAATAATAACGTTAAATCTTTGTATTATGAATTTATACATTTTTCCTCGAGAACTTGGATTTTCAGTTGTGCTGGCATAAACACAAATATCTGTACCAGCAAAAATAATAAATACACAAGTAAATAATTTAATTTAGAATCTTTAATTGTAACTTGAATTTTGTTTATGAATAAAATTTTTATAAAAATAATGTAATCAAGTGTCTACTATAGAGTTGAGCAGTCGAGCATAAATCACTATGACAACGATTATTGTTTGAGAGTTAATGTCACGCCTAATTTTCTACAGTTTTCGTCAATTTTAGTTTCATTCACGCCGAAGTCGAACTTCAAATAGAATCATTGCGATTATTGACAGTTTTGACAGTTACTGTATAATCTAGAAGTTGTTCTGTTGAGCTGAGAAAGTTTTACTTTCTAAATAATGGTCGTAATATTGTGAGGATTTGCACAATGTTCAACTAATTTTTTGTTCAACTAATATTTCAAGAATTGAGAGGTTTTTGCCCAACTTGGCCCAAATGTGATCTAATATAAATGTAATAATTAGACTGCTATTTTTATTTATGAATGTTTATGAAATTTTATTTACGATTTTTTTTTTTTCATATTTAAAAGCTTTTAAAGTCCTCGCGAGAAAATGCTAAATATCCAAAATATTTCTTAGATGAAACGAAATTTCTACCGTTATAATTATATATCCTATGCCTCCAATTATACATTTTGCATAAAAATCTACCTAACTATAACACAAATAGAAATTCATCAGAAAGAGGTGAAATCTAACGTTTTCCATCTACAAGATGGGCCAAAAGTCACTTCCTACTAAACTAAAAATTTTAATGTAAAATTAATGAAATTAATTTTTTCATATGTTTCGATTTATTGAAAAAAGAAAAAAAAAAGATAGGCGGGAAGAAACTTTTCGTAGAAGAAGAATTCTATTCTAACAAGTCGTAATTAATCGAATTATTTTCGAGTTTTAGAAATCGAGTCTTTTTCGTTTTACATTTTTTTTTACTGGCTGTCAGATCGGTACAATAAATAACGATCAGTCGATTGAGAAACAATCTTTCGCGTTCTAGGAAACACGAGGGCGTTATTGCGCCTGCACAGCCTGTAATTATTTTACAGGTGTATCGGGCAGGAACAAAGCAAACGGTGGCAAGTTTACCATTCACTAATTTCGTCATATCGGTGATCACTCATAAGGGAAGTTATTAATAAACCGATTGCACTCGATATGGCGGCTTTCACTATACACGTACATACGCAAGTGCGTGATATTTACAATTCACAGAAGTCTCACGTATGAAAGTTAATATGCCCTGACCGATCGATATCAAGAGACTGATAGACAATTTGCACCGGTAATTGTGAAAGTCTGAGCCAAGAATTTAAAAAAAAAAAAATTAGTTCATCAGTTTACTGTTGTAGGTGACTTTTTAGACATTCAGTTAATTTTGAAATTGGCCTCGGAAATCATATTTCCTCGTGAACAACCGCGCGCAAAATTTCACAGCGATAATAAATTCTTATCTTACTATGACCAAATATTTCCTGATACTTCTCGATGCACGTAATTGATTGAAAGAAAGAAAAAAAGTAGATTAAATCCAAAAAGAGTTCGGATGTCAATAACTCTTAAACGAAAATTTAGATGTTTTTGTACATCTATAGCTGTTTATTAAGTATTAACTCGCAAAAAGGTTCCTCTTATGAAAATACAATAAAAGTTTCGTGTTTCGAAAGTATCGAGCGTTAGAGAAATGCGATGCAAATGCTAGAACGACGAAATTAGAACGAAGGAAATTGCGAAAGATTAATGAATGAAAAATTAATAGATGGAAGTCAGGTTTTCGCATATTTTTCAAGAAAAAAATATACACCCGTGATCCTATGAAATACCAAGCCACAGTCCTGTGTCTGAAATCTCAGTCTGAAAGATAAACGTGATTATTAAATGTGACGGTGATTGTGAAAATGGCCTAAGTCCATTAGGCATATCGCATATAGCATATCGCTTCGAGATAAAGGTTTGCGTTTGAATAAATTACAAATTATTTTTAGAATATGAAACAAAATATCTCGGAGTAATGGAATAATTTTTTCTCGATCGTTTCTTTAGATTTAGATATTTTCTCAAAATTACGATCGAAAGTTCGCGAGGCATTTCACATCAAACGCTTCTTTATTGATTCTGTATTTGTCTCTGTCCGAGTTTCGAGAGTATCGAATCACGAAGAAAGTATTTACAAAGTTTCGAATTCTCGTGACTCGAGAGATTTCCTCGGGTTTCGACGCCTCGAGCAAACCCTTTCGCACCTCGCGACCTCGGTTTCAGTTTTGTTTCCCAAAATTATTATCACTCAGAAGCTAAATTATTATCGACTTTTCGTCGACCACTTTTTATCAATATTTCTTTTAATTTCGTTACACTCATGTGGAATTGAAGGATCGCTCAGGAACGCTAGAACATGGTGCGAAACAACCATAATACATAATTTAATAATTTTATAGTATATTATATTTATAATTTAATATATAAATATAATTATATTTAATAATATATTATATAATTATATTTAATATAATAATAATATATAAATATATTAAATATAATATATTTAATATAATAATAATATATAAATATAATTATATTTAATAATATATTATATTTATAATAATTTTTTTTTAGTAAAATTTATTAATGGCAAGCTTGTGTTCTTCATCGTATTAAAAAACTTGTTTTTTGCCTTTATTCCTTGTTCTCAAATATATTTCCATGTTTCGAAACCTAACCTTAATAATAATCTTCCGCGTTAAAAACATTGATAAAAGAAGGGAGGAAATGTTATATGCAGCAAAGAAACGCGTGAAACGCTTGCGCAACGCCGGTAGATTTTATAATAGAAAAAAGAAGAAGAAGAAAAAAAGAAAAGAAAAAGTAGGCGTACCAGCGATTGAAAGTATTCGCCAGTTCGATCGAACAACTTTCGTGAGTGGTTACACTTTGGAACTGTTAGGTTGTTAGCTGCCAGTATTCGTCATTGAATCTGTCGGAAATATCGACGGCATAAAGCAAGCGACCATTAATGATATTTATCTCGATCAGTATCATTACGTCGTTTCGTGTCATAGTTTGAAAAAGTGACACTTGTGTTTTTTAGTGTCATTATCATTTGATTTCTGAAATATAGCTAATGAAGTTTAATATTGTTCTATAGTATATTAAATGTATAAATTAATAGAATAATAACAATAATGTATAAATAAATATATCAATGTTACATATAAATTAATCAATTATATTATATATAAAGGTATTAATCATTCGATTTCTGGAATATAGTTAATACAAAACAAAGTTCTAGCACGTTAAATGTATAACTTAATTGAGTAATAGTAGTAACGTGTAAATATATTTAATTTATTTTAATATAACTTTTCTCAGTTTGAAAAACGCAGTTGAATATGGTATTTCATTAAATTTTAAAAGTAACTCCTACAGTTTTATGGTATTTGAATGAAAAATAATTTTTATATATTGCTTGCCAAATATTGGCAACAACGGTTTATCGTAATCACACGATCTTTCAATTAATTTCAATTTCGCGAACAATTCGCGTTTTACTTCTTCTTTTTTTTTTTTTTTTTTATCTTCTAACCATATTTTAATAGCCGGAAAGACGTAATTTTCAGATTTGTGTAACGTTAATGTAATTCTTTGCAATTCCACGCGATAAGAATCACATTGACAATGACACCCATCACGTAAAATACAAAATATAAGTTTAGATTAATTTATAATGAAATAAAATTCAAGTTAATCTGAATTCGAATAAAATTCCGATTAGTCTAAGGTGAAGTGTAATTCAAGTCGAATCTGAAACAAAGGTGAAATTCAAATTAATCTGAAACGAGATGAAATTGAAATCAATGTGAAACGAAATAGAATTCAGGCTGGAATCTGAGTTGGAATCGAAAACTAGCGATTTTGGAGCACAAGCTTTTGCCATAATTTTGTTAAAATCAACAAAAATTCACAATTTAATCACGTATAAAGGATATATAGTTTGAACGTAATAAAAATATAATACGAAATGGTTCAAGCGAGACTACGTCCAATTTAAAACCACCAATGTAATTTATATTATAACTTTGTAAGAAGAACGTCAATGTAGATTCTGCTAGAACTTTATTCAGACTTCCATAATTCACAATCGCGGTGTTGCGGTGTAATTTGTAAAATAGACAATAAAGGCATTTATTTGACGTTAAATACATGGCGACTGATTGCGAGCCTGCGAAACATCGTTGACTGGACGATAATCGTTTACGCGGCCGTCAATGGGACGATGAGTTGAAATTAAATAAATTGAGAGGGGGAGAAAAGCGTTTTATATAATGCTTATCAATTGAGGGGATTAATCGACACACTCGAACGTCGAATGTTTTCCAATTTCATCGAATTTATCTCGAGATTCACATCGACCGGCTATGATTGTCGAGTTAAAACGATAAAAATTTGAGAGGTCGTAAATCAAAAACATGAAAATAAATTGAAAACGCTTAAATAAGAAGGTCAAGTGAAAATAAATAGATAGAGAGGCCGAAATCAAACTGAATGCTATGAAGAGATTGTTTGAGAGATACTTAATAAAGACACCGACAAACATTCCGTGATTTAAGTATTAATATACGATCGGTATATTATTGTTACAATAATATTGTTCAGATAACAATAAGACAAATTTAACTGAAGGATAAAATTATATTTAACTATGTTCTTTAAATTAGAAGATCATAGTGAGATCATATTGAGATAAATTAAGAAACATTAACTTGTATTGAAATTACACCATCTTTTGAAATTACACTAACTGAGCCGAGCCTTGAAAGCAAACCAGGACAATCGCATTATCTTTTCCCACCATTTCCCAGTTTGGCTAATCGCCAACTTTCACCGAAACTTTCCATATTCATCGTGGTGAATGCGCTCTTAACTATACAGCCAGTCACGAAAATCCACTATACATCCGCAAATATCGAACAGTTACAGGAAAACAGGGACTTTTAATATTTCACAGACACTGGTTTATTTGTTGAAATTAACTTCTCTGTTGGAAAGAGAAATCACGAAGTTCATTGCACAGTTGAGGTGTATAAAATATTAATGAATTATTTAGGTGCTGCTTTATAAATCTACAAGTGGCTCAACTTCGTTGGCGTTGATGAAGTTTCAAAATGTTTTATATAACGCACTAATACTGAAACGTTCGTCAAAAATTATTAGACGTTCGGATCTTTGCTTTTGTGATCAGCTGCACGTAGATTCCCCGCGACTGACTACAAATGTACACTTACACCGCGCAAATAACTGGACACTTGGCGCAATTTGTATCAAAAGCCTGATATTTTTCAACTTTCGTATTTATGTGATCAATAAATATGTGCTTCGTAAAATCCACACAACTCTTTTCAACAGAATAAGTCGAAAATAATTATACAACACACTCCGACAACGTCTTTTTAATTATTCGTTTCGTTAATATCCGTCAACCGTGCGTTAAATAAGGTTAAACTAACCTAAGCTCGTATTGTAATTTATATCGCGATAATTGTGAAGCTTAATCCAAGTTACTTATGCACATTGTGTAGCATTATACATCGTTGCGCCATCGTGCAAGCCGTTTGTTTCCCAATGGGAAACACCACTCACGGTGTGATGTTACGAACATCACCGTTACGTTTCACCGTAATACAGAACGAGGAACATGCAATTATTCGCATTCGCTCACCTCAAAAGCAGCGTCTCTCGCGTCCTAACGACCTTTGTTTCCTGGCCTTTCGTCGTCAGGGAAGTCCAACGAAACCAACCGAACTCGCTTTCAAACAACGGCCAGCCAAACTTCAACTCGGCTTCTACCTCGACTTTACGGCCTCTGCTCGAATTTAGGAGGCGGTGGAGACTTTCACTCCTGGCTTCTCTCCGGTTGGCTTCTCTCAGCGAGAGTGCATATCACGAGCGGATTGTTGTCTGTACGCTCGAACCGATCCCTCGCGATTCACCTCGTTTGATCAAGCGTTCCCCTCGTGTTCGCACTCTCCTCGGATCCTCTCGGTTTCTTTCCTCCTTTCCTCGGAAAGGAAAACTTTCGCAACGTTTGCTTCGTTGAAACTCCTCTTCCGCTCTTTCCGATCTTTCACATGCTTACTTTTCACGCTCTTTTCTTCTTCCGTCGTTTCCTCGTGTCGTGCACACGTTTGTTCACGCTTCTCTCTTTCCTCGTTCAAATGTCATTCGAAGTTGTACGCGCGAATTCTCCCGTTTCAATTCGATAATATACCCGACGATCGATACGATTGATGAAAGGGTATGCACGCGGATGAAGAACTATGTGGCACTAGTCCGGGTGGTCGCGACTCGATAACCTTACGACTCGGTCATCACCGGCCCGATTACTCGGTGAGAATGTCTCCTCCCGTTAACGTGGCACGTGCTTTTATATAGAACCGGTTACGAGGACCCTGAATTGTTCGTTGTCCCCCATCCTGCCACCACCAGCCAACTCTTTGCATCTTTTGTGTCGGCCGTGTTCGGCCGCCGGCTGGCTCGGTTTGGCCCCTTCGACGATCACCGCTGCCTCGTTACTTCCTCCAGTGGATACCCCAACTAGTCGGTGACGTTTCGTTATATATATTGTATATCTTGCGGTATTTTCGCCTGTTGCAAAGCATGGTTGCAGTGTTATAATATATAACAGAGCGTTACATGTTGTATTTACGTATCACGATACATATAAATATTGTGATAATACTAATTTCTTGTAGACCAAGCACCCCTCCTCGAACTCCTGTCAAAGTTGTCGTGGAAAAGGTGAAAAGCTTCAGTCGAGGAGGAGGTTCGAGTGCAAAGGGTTAATGTGAAAAATTATATTGCAATTGCTGTACATTACAATATAATGCGATTGTAATGCAATAGAGTGGCAATAGCTTCATTACAGTGTATGAAATGACAGCAGTATTGTTTTGCAGCATTATGATATATTATATAATACAGCTGCAATATTATGTTTTATCTTGTAACGTGTAATTATTATTATACGTTATATTGTATGTTATATAACATGACAATAATGTTATTGCAATTGTAAATAATACAATTATTTATTGCAATGTAATTCAGTTACCGTAGCTTCTCACACAAGATTATAGATATTTTGTAAGTGATAGTGATATAATTATAATATTATGATACAATATAGTTGTAGTATTGTATTATATTACCGTAATATATATAATTATTAATGTTAATATTATAATATTATTTTTAAATTAAATTATAATACTATTATTTTTAATTAAAATTATAATATTAAATAATAATATATTTCTGTAATATATATATAAATTATCGTATTAATATAACAATATATTATATCATAATAATATGTAGTTACAGTAGCTTCACAAGATTACAATAATTTTTGTACGTTTATTGTATACATTTATTGTATAAATGACAGCAGTAAGTATAGTTATAGTATTACGTTATAACATAATAGAGTTGTATGTAATATAGTGACTTCACAATGTACTAGATTTAAGTTTAGGACTGTTTTCACTTCTCCAGTAATAAAAAATAAAGTTTGATAATATAAATTAATTATAAACAAGTCAATATAGAGTAATTGAATAATTAATAATACATAAAATGTTACATAATACACACACATATATATATATATATACATAAATGATATATAAATAATAATATGCAAATGATAATATTATATAAATAAAATATATAATACAAAATAATAATATATAAATAAAATATTGCTTTAATAAAATAAATAAAATAAATAACGGTGCCCCTTAACAGATCAATAAAATATTGCTTTAACAAAATAAATAAAATAAATACAACGTTGCCCCTTAACAGATCAATTAAAATCACTCAGAATTAGCACATAGTTATTCGGAGAATGAAGCTATAAGAATTACCCAAAATTGGCTCGAAGTAGGAAACGAAGGGAGAAGACAGTAAAATAATTAAAGCTGCTCGAACGGAACCAATCACCGAGTAATAATTTACACTTGTAGGATGGGGAGCAATCCTGAGAATCGAGAGAGAACCGATTTATCCAATCGTAATCTCGAACGCGCTCGTAAACAGCGTAATATCGAACAATCCTTGAATTAAGAATTATATCTAATTACACGTTTCCACGTAATTTCATCGTGGAAAAAAATTAACATTTAGCTCGCGACCTCAGGAAAACCAATGAATCGTAAAATTATTTCACTCGATCGTTCCATTCAACTTTCACTGGATGTTAAATCAGACTATCCCCGATAAAGCATCATCGTAATCACAAATTATTTTATCAGTCGAAATTCGGCAGTATCGAATTTGAAAAGATTGAAGCAGGCTCGAGTTTCTCTTTGACTGACAATTAAAAGATTGGATTGTTAGACCGATTTATCAGTTAGATTTTTATGCGTTTAGGAAAAATTTGGAGATGCAGGGAAATATGGTGTCGTGTCAACACTAAATGAACACTCGTTTTATCAAGTCATTTACTAAAAAAAGAAATTAGGAAGTTCAAAGAATACTTTTTATATGCTTAATTTTCAGCTATTAGATACGGAATCTATTGAATTTTTAGTGAAATTAAATTTCAATTAACAACTAATTAATTGATGAATTTAGTAACAGCCAAATTTTTAATTCAACTTGTAGTCAGTAATTTTGATAGTCAGGCAATACTAACGTTCTGCGTTTCTCCTTTTCGTATTGAATTTTTTAGAACGGGACTTTTCCATTCGTGGATTTTTATGAAAACGAGAAACTATATAAAACATTGAAATATGATATTCCTTATGACATTTAATAGACAAAATAATTCCCACTTAGCTTCCATCTTGTTAATTATCTCCACAAAAACATCTGGTTATTATTAATATTTATGAGATTAAATTTATCAAACGTAACCTTGAAATCGTTTCATTTCTAGCTGCATTTCAAAATTTTAAAAGTCAAAAATCGTCAACCACGAATTCCTTCGTCTTTGAATAATTTTCAGCAAAAAAAAAATCAGGTGAAATGAAGAAAGTAATTATTAATATATGAGATTAGAAGTCATTTGTCTTAAAATATATAAGATAATTAAAAAGTAATGAAAAGTCTGCGTAAATGGAAAAGATGATCAACATTTATAGAATTATATCGTTATAATTTCTCGCATCATTTAATCATATATTTCAATTTATTTTAAATAAATTCAAAATCAACATTGAAAGAGTGAACGATATTGAGAGAGAAAGTAATATTAAGTATATTCGTCTGATAGTTTATCACAAGTTGGTTTGTTGCGAACAAAATAATTTCTTGCACTATGTGCAATGCTTGTGACAAAAAACCTGATAAATTAACTGATCACCAGTCAATCATATATCTATTCAACGATAATAATGCAGATTTATTTGTGTAGCCGCATAATAGAATGTAAATTAGAATTTCTACTTGCAGGTTATACAATATTCCAGTTTCTAGCTAATCTCACTTTAATTTGAATAAAAGTATGTCCAAAACCAGTTATGCGCGTACACAGCCATTTTGTAGTTAATGGAGCAACAATTCAGAAAAATCTGCAAATTTGCAGATAGGGGAGAGAAATATCCTGAACACGATCGTTTGATCCAGACAAGACAATTTATTACATATATATATACAATAAATATATTATATATAATTGATTAATAAATATATTAAATATATTATATATATTATATATATGTATATAAATGCTGGAATGTACTTATATAAGTTATATTTCGCGACAATATCACTAAATCAATTATCCGTTCAGATTTACGATTTGAAAAATATTTGAATTCAAGGATTGCTGGATTTCTTCTGGTCAATTATTATTTTAATTTGAACGAAAGAACTGTTCCAATTATATGCATAATATAGATAAGCAATAGTACGGATAATGCAAATTTGCGATTATTGCACGATGTTATGATTAAATTAAAATTCACATAAAAAATATTATTATTATGATGAAATTTAATGATTGATTTATGCATATATGTATATATAGTGGTCTGATCCAAACAAAATAACTCGTTACTTTAAATATTCAATTTCGTGAATGTATTATTATTTACGACGACAAAAGCAATTGATCAACCAGTCCAGTTATGTAATAATCTAACAAGAAGTATCTTCAAATATTTTAAATATCAATAATAAAACGCAAATTAGAATTTGTTCTTATAGAGTATTGCAATTCTCAATCGATTATGTTTCAGTTTTAATAAGAGAACATTTTAATATTGAGCCAATTGTATAGACATTATATATATATATAGACAAATTTATAATTATTACACGAGATTATAGTGGTCTGATCCAGCCGAGACAATTTGTTGGACTATACTCAAATTCATGAATATATACATATGCAGTACAACCTCGATTACCCGAAACGTCAATCATTCGAATTTCGATTACACCACACATCATATACGCACACATTTGAACTATATGTCGAGCAACGTTTCTATGTATTTTGGAACACGTATCTTGGTCTCAATTGCTCTATTTTAGTGCCTCATCGAACGATAAGCGAACTGCCTTTCATTTATACCACGAAAATTCTGTTAAAAGAAAAAAAAAGGAATGATGCTGAAATTAAATATTATCAAACGTTTAAAAAAAAAAAAAAAAAAAAAAAAAATGGCAAAAATACATACAACTTAATGTAACGTTAGAAAAATGTACAATTAGCTACATTAAAATTAGCAAGCCAATGTTATTAGAATTTCAAAATAATAAGAGAAATTGTTCTTTTCTATGTGGAAGCTTGAAAATAGCAAATTAGATCGAGCTGTGAATGCATCCACCAGATGAAGAGGTAATGCAAATTTTTACAACGTGTACCGATTATTAAACATTTCAAAACCGATTTGATGTGTGACATGACCATAAATTTGATTCCTTCAGACCGCTCATTCGAACATTGGATTTGACTACAAATTAGTTTGAATAATCGACGATTCTGCTCTATTATTACTTATCGCGGTAAAACCGATCGATCAACAGTTTAATGACGCATGACTGTGTTAGAACTTGTGCAACTTTGGGTTTTCTGATTCGATATACATTCTTTATACGTCGAACGTGGAAGTTCCAGATAAATGGCTGGGAATCACTCTGCTCGACTAGGTAAAAATAATTCCATGAAACTTTCATGGCGCGTCATCACACTCTTTCTCACCGCTTCTTTTCCTTCGTTCCGATCACGCACGAAGCTTGTAAGTAAATAGCTACACCTATTACTACATAAATTACTACATCTATTATCATTATATGTGACTATTTATTATTATTATATTATATTTATTTTTATATTTGTTATTATATTACATTTATTTTTATATTTATTATTATATTACATTTATTTTTGTATTTGTTATTATATTAC